TGAGGTTGTTTAGTCTGGAGAAGAGGAGGCTGAGGGGAGACCTTATCACTCTCTACAACTGCCTGAAAGGAGGCTGTAGTGAGGTGGGGGTCAGTCTCTTCTCCCTAGTAACAAGCGATAGGATGAGCGGAAACAGCCTCAAGCTGCGCCAGGGGAGGTTTAGGTTGGATATTAGGAAAAACTTCTTCACCAAAAGGGTCATCAGGCACTGGACCAGGCTGCCCAGCAAAGTGGTTGAGTCCCCATCCCTGGAGATATTTAAAAGTTGGGTAGACGTGGTGCTTGAGGACATGGTTTAGTGGTGGACTTGGCAGTGATAGGTTAATGGTTGGACTCTATGATCTTAAGGGTCTTTTCCAACTTTAACGATTTTATCGTTCCATGATTATTGCAAAGTTTTCTTTAGAGAATGGAGCAAGACTGTTCTTTTGAGGCAATGAGAGATGACAAATAGTACCTCCTTTTCTGCAACACTTATTCAAGAAAAATTGTCTAGAAAATAAAAAACTGGTTTAATAGTTATTTAAACACATGGGATTCAAGCCTTTACCTCTACTCTTAGATCAGTCTCCTCACCACCAAGCTCCCAAAACACAACACGAGACAGCATGCAAATAAATGGAAGACTAGAAATCATGCTCATTTTCCTCAATCATATAAAAAAATGGGCTGTTCTGCTCGTCTTCTCATCTTTGTTCCCCAACATTTTCAGATTGACTAGGAAGTGTCTGAGCTTAGCCAATTAAGCTTGGAAGATCCTATAAGTGAAGGCTTTTGGACGACATCAACAGGAAGTCTGAGTAGGAGACTTTTTGAACAACTTTTTAAATCAAATTCTCTTCTCGTTGAAAGACATTCTGATGCCAGTATATATAACAGATTGCTTAGCACATTTGTTTAAACAATCTAAATCATAGATCAAGGTTTTATTATAATCTCCCAATATGTTATAATCAAAGTACAGTAGCATCTTATTTTTGTGATAAATGCATGTACACAGCAGCGCAAAATCTCTGCACAGAAGAAAAATAAACAAGTATGCTAAGCACAGTTTTCCAGATCTTCCATCTCTCTTCCCTCCTCCCCTCCCCTACTTTTGTTGGGGCAAGACTATGCTTGATTTCTCCTGAAAAAGGACGAAGAAAGATACATTACACCAGAACAACTAGAACTTTGTTTCTCTGGATCAGGGAAGCACAGCTTAACACAAATGAAGACCAGCAGCTCCCAGCAGAAGCACATCCATTACCTCCCTGAGGAAGCGAGACACTGTCCTACTGTTATTGCACGTTCTTACACTACAATAAAGCATGCTCTGGAGTAGTGGTCTCCCAAGTGAAAGGTAAACACCCCAGGGGTGTGCAAGGCAATCCAATGGGGTGCAGGAAGAAAATATTAGAACTTCTGTTTATTGTTTATCTAAAAAAGTAAGAAAGAAATCAAGCTTTACAAATATTTAATACATCTTGACACTAGCACCCTCATTTTGTCTGTATCTCAGATGGTCACGCATCACATAGACAGTACACGAGGTATCCTTGGGGAAGAGTGGGTGCTTCACAACGCAGAGGGGGGGTGGCAGTGGCACCCTCGCTCATTTTTTCACTTTCAGTATATTGTAACATATTGCAGTTTACATGCACCCAGTTAAGTGGATCTATGGATACTATCTAGTTGTAACCAAGCTAACCCTCACAAAATGACCAAGTGGCTTAAGAAGATTCCTGAAAAAAACCCTGCCGATTGAAGGTAATACTAATAACATGAGCACAAACAAACAAGAAAGTTGCAGAGCTGACACTTCTGCTCCTAGTAGGAGCCCTTCATCAGCCACAGTAGTATCAATGGCAGTCTAATCACATTTGACAAAAAGTTGGTCAAAAAAAATTCAAAACTATCAAGATGACTATTTGAAATACAAATTTACATCCAGTATCGCTAACAATGAACCTCAGTTTAAGCATATATTGTGCCTTTAGATGTTAGCTAATAATAGTATGAAGCCATCAGGGTTAGCAGAGCATTTAAGAACTAACCATCCAGGACATGAAGACAAACTTTTACAAGTTTTTTCAGCAGTGTTTAAAGTCATGTGATAATCCAACACTTTAGAAAATTTCATAGTAAAAGCACTGCTGGAGATCTGAAGAAACAGGTATTAGAACAAGCTATGAGGTGTGGGAGGTTTCTTATAGTTGGATGAAAATACAGGTGTTTCTAGCAAATATTGTAAACTGAAACAGCTTAGTTTTTTTTTAAATGATGAAATATACGAACAACTTTTTTATGAGTCACTAAAGATGTACTGGAGAAGACATATTCTCAAAAGTAAATAGTTTCTTTAATAAAAATGGTGTTTTATGGAAAAACTGTACAAGTGTAACCACTAATGGGAGTGGCTGCTTTGACAGGAATAAAAAAAGGATCCGGGGGCAAGCTACAGCAATCGTGAAATTCATTCACTGGATCACTCGTGGGCAAGACAGCGCAGCAAACAAGTTGAGGCCAGAAGGACACAAAGTGCTACACAATGTCATCAACATGGTTAATTTTATAAAAACAAGACCTTTCAACACTAGAATCTTTACAATACTTTGGAAAGAGATGGGGAGTGACCAGGAAAGTCTTTTGTACCATAGAGGTTTACTGGTTTTCTTACAGCAAAGTGCCTTAAAGAGTTGTCAAACTTAAAGATGAGTACACGTTTTTCTTTCACAGAAAGAAAAGTATTCCAAATCTGCTGACCTTTTCTGTGATGAAAAGGGCCTGTCAGTACTATGCTACCTAGGCTGATATTTTAGAAAAATAAAAACATTTAATCTGCCTCTTCAAGGTAAAGGTGATGTTTTAACAATAATTGAGAAAACAACTGCTTTTTTAAAGAAACTCATTGTCTGGAGAGAGCATTTTGAAAACAGAAGTTTGGAAATGTTTGCGTTATCATGTGATTTTGTTGCGAAAAGCAGTGCAAAGGTGTCACCTATAAAAACTGTCATACCTGTACACTTGCACCTGGAAAAAATTTTCTAACCTGTTTAAAAATCTTCTAAATGAAAAGTGTTAGCGGGTTTTCAATCCATTTGTAAAAAAATCACAAAAATTCAAGACCTTCCACTTAGCTTGCAAGAACAACTGACTGACATAGGGGAACATGGAAACTTACTAGCTGAAATTTAACAAACACCTTTGCATAACTGGTGGAGGAGATTGAAAAATGGGGATCATGATTTAGTAAGCACAGCCAGCAACACATTTCTTTCATTTGGATCTATGTATCGTTGTGAGATATCTTTTTCAGCCATTAAAACCAAGTATCAAAATAAACTGGACTTAGAACCAGACCTTTGAATCTCTGTACCACAGTGTTAAACCAAGATTCTCAAAAATGGACTTCTGAGCAAAGCATGCTTTTCACCATGCTTGCTGACACAGACACAAGACAGCAGTAAAATAGGAATTCAGGTAATGTAATCCAGCACTAGGATTAAACCACTTCTGTTCTGAGGCAGGGAAGGCACAATAGTGAACTTGGAAGAACACACACATGAAACCTAGAAAGCTTAAGATGCAGGTTTATTATGCATTAGGAAGCTTATTAACTTAAAAAACAAACCACAGAGTAAAAAAGGTTTGTTATCTCTGCTCAATGTGGAACAAGTTTCAAAATATATATTTTTAAAATTTGTTCAGTCAATACACAATCCTTTTTAAAAAACTGTATATCTGTCAGTACCCTCATTACATTTATAAATACATGATTTACACAGCACCCCATCTGGAAAAATTAAAACTCCTTACAAATATCTACATATATTGCATACATATAAAACATTCATAGGAGTACTTCATTAAAGTTGGGTTTAATGGTCCATTTACACTGCAGCAAAATACATATAAATCTGTGTATTTTTCATAAAATGTCTCTAAAAATTAGCACATTTGTAGCCATTCATAACTCCTTTAAAGCATCTTTTCGAAAGGAAATTTGATATGAATATATCCATGAGATTCAGCAGATAAGACAGCGATATGAAGGCTAAATACGATTAATAACTGAACACTAAGTAGCAGTTAAGGCAGGGGTGAAAAGAATTAATAGGAAAGATTATTTCATATGGCAGATAAAGTGACAAAATGCAATAAATATACATATTTCTTGGTGTAAACTACTCTGGCACCCACTGTTTTTCCTGCCTCAGAAGCCAGGAGTGTCCATAATTCTGACGCTGTTCATTTTATAATTAAAATTTTATTTTTTTTTCAATCAGCAAAACATGTAATGTGACCAGTGCTCTCAGGTGCCATCTGGATTTGCTTTAGCTGCTCAGAACTTACTGTTCTGGAATGTGGGTTTAAGACTTCAGTATGACCTTCATTTATGGGTAATGACTGTCACATGTGATCATACACCCTCAGAATTCATCTCAGTTTCATCATTGCTTTCTGGTAACTACTGGACTTCTCATTATTCAATAATATTTGAGAATGTGTCTCCAGAAAATTTAATTACTTTTACTGATAACCACTATTTCAGATAGCAGAATTATATAGATCAGTCCCCCTCACGTTGTGAGGACTACTTGTGGCATACATGCAGACAAAGGGCATAAGAAACACAAACCAACCTTTAACAGTGGTGGCAGAAACTGTTCTGCCTCAGCCCTGATTATTTTGCATACAACTTTGGGAACTGAACATTCATACTTTAAAAAAAATTTCCATTATGTCTGTATATTCAGGTTTCTACCCGATACCGGGTTTCGACACAGCATTTGCAGTCCAGTATTGGGTAGAATCACACACCTGGTGGTGACCTGCCATGCTAAACAGACCCTCCTGCAAGCACGGCATCAACCTCAAGCATCATACAGCATGTGACCTTCCCTTGTACACAAGCTGCCTTCCTTTCAGAGGCCAGACACTCTCTACATCCCACCACGCTTCCAGAGCTGCAATTCAGTTGCATGAATTTGTTCCATAGTCTCCTCAGAAGTTAGCCTTCATACACTGCTATCTTGCAGCAATGGTTCAATGTCCTCTTCGCTACTTCGGTCTAGGTTGTTACTCAGAGTACCGCTGATGCTGTTGCTGTGTTTTCTGGTACTGCTGGCTTTGCTGTGCTCAGGAATAAATAAGGCGACTAGAAAAGCCAGAAGAACAATGCATGCTCCAACCAGGAAGGGTGGACCAGGAATGATTGCTCTCTGTGGGGAAATAACCATATCAAAGAATTCATGAAGTTGTAGACATTGACTTCTGCATGAAAAACTATATCATTAAGGCAAGAGATAATGGGAGACGTATTTACAGTGACTACAAAGTTTATGCAAACAAGTTCACTGCAACATAAATTTTCTGCATCTACAATCCCTGAGAATTCCTCACCTGATCTGTACACTGATCTAAAAAACAGAAACATGCACAAAACTACCAAATGACAACAGGATTGCCTAGCAGATGAAACAGACATTGACTGATGCTTCTTTGTAATTTTTTTCTTCTTTAGGCAACATGCCTGTTAAATCAGCAAGATTAATAGGATAAGGTTTCAACATCCGGAAGTACAAATGCTCAATAAATCTTTAATTTAATTTCACTTTTTCCACTTGCTTCCATGGCTGATATACTTTAGAATCAAGCTAGCTGAATAAACAAACATCCTCAAAAACTAATGCATGAGTGAGGAAAGTAACAGCAGGCTATGCAGTACATACTGTTCTCACTGCAGAGACAGGTTGCTGGCATGTATGGTAACTTGGTATTTGGAGCTATTCTCTCTTGCTTCTAAGCAGTTTATTTTAAAATTTGAAATACAACTGTTCCACATTTCATAACCACAACAAAAAAAGCACCAGAAAGGCTATAAGACTAATTTTAAACCAGCTAAGTTTGATAACAAAACTCTACAAGAAACTGTCAGCAATCAAGCAATTTTTTTTTTAATCTTAAACAACTTTCCTGTATTTTTGTCAGCTAAAACTAAACAAAAATCAGAACATGATACTCATCAATCCACTGTACTTTTTTTCTGCCAAAGGAAATGCATGAAGTTATTCTAATGTGAAGTGGGAAAGTTGCTGAAATTAAGCATACAGCAACAGGATATTTCCCTTGCTTCAACTCTTATTACAAGCAGAGGCCTAATTTTTCACCTGATGGTCTCTCAATTTGAAGTATATCATTATATTAACAGAATTTATATTAAAAATATTACTTAAATCTTCAAGTGGTGCTAAGCCCACAAGTACCTAAAAGAATGTAATAAACTTCCATAAATTAATATCCTCATTTGTAATATAACAGCTGATTTATCTGAGTAGCTTTTGAATATTCCACTATTGCAGTTTCACTGAAGAGTAGGAAGTTTTGAAAAGCACTCCTTACTCATTACATTACCCAGTGTTATTATTACTCTCCAAACACAGCCTATGACTGCACTGTCTGCTGTAAGGGCTCCCCGAAGATAATTATAATGATGCAACCTCACTCTCCACTTTAGGCTCTCCAGTTTTGAAAACAGTTATTTAAGTGGGAATTAAGACAGATATGCTTAACTTTTACTACGTATGCTCTGCAGAGCACATACACAATTTTTCTTCAATAGGTGGCATCAGATCTTTTCTTTGATGGAAGAGAATCACAAGTGGGACCTGTAGTAACACTATGGCTCTCCCAATTCCACAAGAAAAAAAAACAAAACAAAACAAAACAGGTGATATTCAGTAAAATCCTATTCTTAAGTCCTCTAGGGTAACAGAAATGGATACTTAAAGGCAAGTCAAAAAAAGAAAACAGTAAGTTTGAGCTGTTTAAAAAAAAACACCAGAAATTACTACTAGGATGTATTCTCCTCCATTTACTCTACACATTAAATAACTGAAATCTGCATCCAGAATTCCTGTCACCATTGTTTGAATATGAAGGTTTACAGAACCACTATATCTAACAATTTGTTTTAGCACTCTCTTTCCATCAGTGAACACAGAACACTTTATATCTGAAAGGTACAATACTAAATTATGACAATAATCAGCTTTCACTAGCTAAGTTAAAATTATTTTTGGTTTTGTGGTTTTTTTTGTTTTTTAAATGGGACAAGACAGCTTCCTCTCAAAGTAAAATGTGTCAAAAATTACACAAGCTTTTCTTCACATTAATAATTTTAACAATACCTATATAAGTAACTTATTTCTCATAACAAGTTAAAAATCTACTTCCTGTAGTTGCAATAACACCCAGTAGTACAGTAATGGAAACAAAGGAGAAAGAATTGTTTTAAATTCACTTCAACAGCACACCGGGTTTGATCAAGGTTCAGCACAGTAGCAGTGCATTCTCAATTGAATTCCTACAGACTCATTGCCTTTGACAAGCAGGGGTAGGATACAAGCTTAAGCATCAAAAAAGAAGAAAATTAACAAAGCCTGTCACAGACTAAAACACATTCTGTCAGTTAACTGCAGTTCCACAGACATCCAGTAATGTTTTAAAACAAGGTACTTGACCATTTAGACTTGTTATTAAAACACTTCTTAGTGAACATTTATTAGCATTTAATAAAATTGAGAAAACATTTTCCAAACTACATATACCTGTAAAGGAACTCCTACTTATCAATTTAAGACACTGAACAAAATCAAGAGACAGGTAGCTTGCATTTGGGCCTTGCAAATCCAAGGTACTAGCACTAGTGTTGTAAGCTAGGCTTGTACACATTTGCTAGCTAATTTCCTTGTCTAACCTTGGTGCATTCCCTGGTTTTCACTTCCACTCATTTTACTTTGATCAGTTTTTAAAGCTATATAATATTTAAATTATGGAGTTCTTTCCCACTGTTATATTAGACTTGAACCTAAGAATTAGTAGGAAAAAATTGTATTGTTATTTTCCTGAATGATAGTTTTACGTGTTAGGTGCCTGGTAACTATTAACAGGGAGAAATGTAATTACAGACATTTAACAAAGCTTATGAGTACATACATAATTAAACATAAGAGCTGTCCCACTGAAATTAGAATAAAAAGCAATCTTAGTTGTGCAAATACTTACTGATTTTGCTGTACTGCTAAATAAAAACATGTGTCCTTATTTATTAAGTAGGTTTTCAGGAAAACAAGGATGTCTGAAACAATGGTTCATTTTACATTTACAGCTTAGAAAAATCATTATTTTATGAGGAAGCTCATACATTAAGCTTCAGCACAGGAATTTCTTCTACCACAAGCTTTAAAAAATTTCACAACAGAAGTTTTGACTCATTTATAGCTTACTGGAACAGCCAGTTGCTCCACTGTGATACATCTGGGCTATTTCAACAAAAAACAACCCACATGGATATTCTTCAAGTAACAGAACACACTGAAATTACTTGTAACAGCAATGTGTGTACAAGATCAAAAAGCCAACACACTCCCTGCCCCCAAGAAAAGCTTATGTGATTCGATGCTTGAAAAAACAGAGTTCAATAGTGAAATTTTAACTAGTGGAAGCATGACAAAGTTCTTGAAAACCTGAAATCATGATTATAAACTTTTTCCCATATTTTACTACAGTTTGCTTTTTGTACAAGAAACAAGTGTCTTTGGCCCCTTACTTTAAAACTCTACTCAGTTTGCTTTAGCAAATTATGCAGCACTTCACCATAGGTACGGCAGTGAGCAGTATGTTCAAGCACTTGTTAGAGTTAATACCTGGAAAGATGCACAGACTGGGGGATGAACAACAAACAATTGTTTCCATAGTAACAGCCACCAGTACATATTCAGCTAATCTGTTGTCTTTCTTCATCAGCTTAATGACAAGCTAAGAGACCATCAGCTCTCTGAAAAGTCCATTCTTAGTATTTTGAAAAAAACAATGAAATTGTAGCTGAAGAGATCAGAGCAATCAAGCTAAAAAGAAAAAAGGGTCTATAAGATTCTCCAAACTCTGGTAAGCAGGTATTTGATATTTTGGAAGCCAAATAGGAAAGAACAAAGGAGATAAAAATGCAGACCTGAAACAAAGATGGAACAGATACAAGAAAAGACTGAAGGGAGTTCCAAAGAACGTTGCATAGGATTGACTTCTCCCCTCCCTGCCAAGTTTCATACAGGTAAGGAAAGGTAATGAACAGCATTGTTACTGCCATTGAAAAAAAAAATACATAATTCAACTGTATACTGAATTACTGTATATGTGAATAATTAACCTATTGCTGGGAGGTTCAAAGATAAAAACTTGTTACAATTTACTGAGTTACCAAAAATGACCTTCCTATTGTCAAAATTTCATCTTTCGCTGCCATTCAGGATTGCAGCTGTGTTTTGAGTAGATTTACATCAGAAGTTGTTAACTGGTTCCATTAGAATACTGAAACCAAAGCTGCTACTACTGTAAATCTAAATATTTACTAAAAATTTAAATTATGAGCTATCTTAATATTTCAATAACACCAACAAGTGAGAATTACATAGTTCAAGAATTAGATATCAAGATTTTAAATTAATCAAAAATGACAGATTTTTACTCTGACAAGTTCTACACTGCAAACTTCACACAAAATTTTAAACTTACCTCATCACTGGGATCTTGCATTGCTTTTTTTCCAGAAGTCTGATCAGGTGGCAATTCATTGAGCTCCACATGGAAGAGAAAGAAAATAAAGCCATACAGTGCTGGTCCCAGGCCATTGCACAGACCTCTTATTCCAGTTATTATTCCTTGGAGAACACCTAATGAAGAAAAAAAATAAGAGTAGGATTTTTTTTTTAATCAAGAATAAAATGCTCAGAGCCAACAGCTCTGAGTGTATTCTAACAGCTGTTCCAAAATAGCACATCTCATAATTATTTCTACATACTAAGAACTTAAGAAATACACTGAAGACAACTTTGCTGGATTAAAATAATCCTCTGCATGACCCTAGTTCTGTCACTGCACTTGCATGCTACTGGAATCAATGAGTTTTGAATATGAGTGAATAAATTTATGTCCAAGTCTAATGTTCTGTATTAGAGTTCTTCCACCCTCACCCAAAGCCTACAATGAAGAAAGCAAAGGTTAAGTGTAGTACCTGCTCAGTTTATTTTCAAGAGAAATTTAGAGTAATATATTTATGTGTTAAGGGTTGTTATTGGCAAAATATGCACAAACTGTAACAGACTTCTTCCCTTCACTGGCCTAAAACCCAGGATTTATTTAAGCACCAAGTAACTTATTCAGGGCAGTAAATTCACAATACTAGGTTGGTTGCAGTTTTATATTAGATTATTTTAAAAGCTTGATTAATCAAATTCTATGGGTGTATTTCTGCTTCAACTTCATTAAGTGACTGTGACAACAGTGTAAAAAGTTTTTTTTTTTTCTCCATAGGTTGACATGTAAGCTTAAAATCTTCATGCCACTAGGTGGCAAAACTTCACTCTAGAAACTACTGTATGCCTGAGCTATTAACAGTAGTTTCCCCTATGTAAAATGAAAGATTATCAACTTCTGTGAACTCAACTAAACTATTCATTTAATGACATAAATAGAAAACAAGTCTTTTAAAACTCTTTTAAATGTCTCTATTAGAAACAAAAATGGGGTGAAGGGGAATGATAAAAAGAAGCTATGTAAAATACTGTCTTTTGCACCTTTCAAACTCAACAGAAATCTGCCACCTAGAACTGCACCTCCTTTGTACCTCCACATTAACTGCACTTATCTAACTTCAAGTTGTACAATGTTAAAGCGAGACTGATACTTATGATTTATATGTACAGGATTTTTTTAAAGAGAACACTAAATTCAGTTATTACATGCCAGTGTGTTGCTTTGCGATGACTCCCTCCTCACTTCATTTTAAGTGAAGACTTATTTCTGATTGTTCATTCCCCTTCACATCAAAATCAATGAAATTTTCTCTCTTTTCAGATCAACTATTTAAGCTTTTCTATTCCTTGAAAATCTGAAGTATTATAGCAAATAGGGCCAACTTTTCCACACAGACTAGAGCTTCTTGTATAGGCTTATTATTTTAATCTGGTAAGATGTGTTTTAATTTTCCATTAAAAAGATGGTATTTTTACTTTAATCTTCACTAGCTACTTAGAGAATACTACTTTTAATAAAAAAAGAGGAAGGAAAAAACATGAAAGTTACGACATCTGTTTTTGTTGCTTTGGTAGTAATTTTACAGGAAGCAAGAAGAGCAGTAGCTGTCAGACAGAATTGTATTTTGCACTGCAAATCTGATAAATTTGTGTACGTCCTTCCTCACTACATAGATTGGCAGACTTCCACAGGTACTACCAAAGAAACTCATTACTTATCAACATATTTGAAAAGTACACCTAGGTAAGTATTCTGCTTTCCAGACAGACGAGTCATCCAAGAAAGCAGTCTGATGCGGAAACAGAAATTCAATCAATACTCACCTTGTTGATCTGACTCTGCATTTCGTGAAACCAGAGCACTGATTGCTGGGAATGTAATGCTTGACATCGCTGCTACAGCTCCTGCTGCCCACATCATCCTGTGTTAAATACATAATTTGAATTAAAAATGAGATTGCCCATATAATTACTCCCCAGCCCCAAAAAGGGCTAAGGGTACCCTCATTGAAGGCTTAATGCCCTTTCAAAAGTACTCTTATTAAAATACCTGACGACTGGAAGTTATCTGGTCAGGGCCCTCTTCCTGCTCCCCTCCCACAAATTACCCTGAGCTTGTTGGAACAGAAAAGCATTTGATTCTACACCTGCTATTACAGGAAAGGAAAAGAAGGGAGTGGGAGTGAAGTGATGCATTGGCCTTCCCTCTCCAAAGGCTGCACAAGAGAACGATTTCAGAGGGTGTCCCTGTGAGGCAGTTCTCCAACTTGTATAGCTCACTAGGAAGTACTCTGATAAAGAACAAGCATTCTTCACTGTCAGTAGGACAAACTTTGTGAAGAAAAAGCTGTTCCAGCTTATGGTTCTAGTTCACTTTACTTACAGACAGTTTTTCCAACAAAAGAAGCTCTAGATAGTTTCCAAGACCAAATATAGTTATAGTAAGAGAATGACATGTTAGAAAAAAAGCAAAAAAGTAAAGGTCCAGTAAGTGATTGATAGTGGATTAGTGGAATTGCTGGAGAGAACGTACTACTTACTAGCTTGTGAGTTTACGAAAAAGTTTTAACCACATTTGTAGACATAAAACTCAGTGGACCAAAATGGTGCAAAGACTCCTTTTTCAAAAGGGCTGTTAGTCTGCAACTTATACTATATACCTGGAATATGCTGTCATTCCTACATGTGCAAAATACAGACCAAGCTTTGGTAGTGTAATGCAAATGAGAATGCTTAATTCACAGAACATTTAAGTACTCATGATGACAGAATTAAAGGGTAGCATTTCTTGGAAAAACATTTTCAGTTCCTTAACATGTAGGTACCTATGAAAATGTGTGCTTACCAAGACTGAGATCCAAAACCATACCAAGCCAACTGAAGGATCTGAAAGCCAAGGCCAAGGAGAACCGTATTTTTGTTCCCTATCGACCTCATCAAGATACTGAGAAACACAGTCTGCAAGAGAAATTGGTTCATCGAAGTTATTTTAAAAAGCCAGATTGCTAAAGTAATTTCTCTTTCTACACAAAGTAATTCAGAAGACCTTTCAACTGCTGAGGAAATTCACACTGTTCATGCTCTTACTTCCCCTGTATTGAGTCCAAAATGCAGACTAGCTGTATCAACACTTGATGTACAGATATTCTTAACTTTTAAAGAGTTTCTACTTCAGGACATCAAGAAGCATATGTATTGCCTTCTCTATGGACATTATATCTCAGTGTCTGTTTCTACTGTAAACAGGCTTTTGTTTCCACCTCTGCAATTCTGTTTTATTACAGAGTTCCACAATAAATGCTGGTACCAAGTTAAGATAGTACAGGCTGGACATGGGTTGAATTCACCAGTATCTACAAATACGTGAGAAAAAATGACTGTTAGCTCAGAAAAAAATAATCTGTTTAGGTCAGGTGAATTAGTATCCAAATTTGTAATTAAAACCAACAAGTAAATCCTGCTGCTTTTCCAACTTCAGCACATGCATTGAAATTTGGCTGAGGCCAATTCCTAGGCATCTTTAATTACATTTTCTGCTCTTTACACCACCCATATGACCTTTTTATTTGCACATGGAAACTAATCCTAAAGGAAGACCACTGTTTTTCATTTGTTAGAAGCGTTACTGCTGAGGTGGCAGGAGGTCCCAATTCAGATACACCACCAGTACACTCATGGCAAGAAGCAGAGTGTTCCTAGTAAAGCAAAGTCCATATGGACAACTTCACTCAGTTAACAGCGCACACATTTTTCTTTAACATGAGAAACTCAGCAATGCATCAGTAAAAAGCCAGAGAAAAGGAACCAGAAGGATTGTAGAGCAGAGCATACTTCCTCTCTCACGTACATCTTACTAAAACTAGCTTTGTTGTTTCTCATTCTTAGACAAAGCTAGTTTGAAAGCCAAATAGCAAAAATACAATAATTCTATCTACATGTGATCAGTTCTTTCTGGAGATATCCAACATGCCAACACAAATCAGTATTTATGAAGCAAAGCTTATTTCAGTAAGCTGCACCCTTTGAAGAGTTCAAAAATCAAAGCAGATCTTCCTCATTTTAACAGTGAAAATTATGAACCAGAAGGGCAGCCATTTTAGAGATTTTTAGCAAAAATACTGGTCTGAATAACGTATGATTGGCAAATGTGAGTGCACATAAAAGCACCAGAACAAACCACAGAGCAAGGACCAAAATAATGACTTGTATTGATAATGGAGGGCACAACTAACACCACTAAAACTGATTAACACTGAGGAACGTGTCGTTTACATCAAAACAGTAAGACCTCCACTCTGCTAAGGATGGCAACAAGGTTACAGCACATTGTATATGCCATTCCTCTTCCTTGTTATCACAACAGGAAGACAAATTGTACCCATAAAGATATCACAGATCACATCATAAAAGCTACTTGATTTCTAAAAAGTATAAAGGACCTGTCCAAAAACCAGCTCGCTGTTGCCAATTAAGAGGTATGAAAGCAATATACCAAGGCCTCACAGTTCCTCATACTCCATGCTGAACCTAACTAACCCTGGAGAGACCATGTCGATACCTGCACTGTTTGTACGCAAGTTTGAAAGCACAAGCCAATTGAATAGGTGCAAGCAGCATGACTTTTGCTTAAAATAAGGCATACGTTTCCTTTTCAGAAGGCCTTGCATTAAGTAACCAATTTCCTACACCATTTTAATCATTTGAAGCCAGTTTGGTAAATTTATTGATCCAAGCTTAGCAAATTTTAGTTTCATTTTCTGATGCCCAGGGTCCAGTATTTCTAAGGAAAGCAGATTTAAAGCAAGACATTTACGCAGACTATATATATGAACTAATCTTCAGTGAATGTAAGATACACTGGCATTTTAGAGCATGTAAGAAGTATAGACAAGCTTAATAGTCAGAAGATTATGCATCAGCATTCAGTTTGTACTGCTTAATAAAACAGTAAAAAGAATAAAGCTTACCTGAGCTACTATAGACAGAATGCCTACCACAGCTATAAATGCTGCAATGCTAGCAGATCCAAAACCTATAATCTGAAGAGAAGCAAAAAATGCATAAAACAAGTGCCAAACACAATCCAGGACAATCACTAGCAAAGAGATATCTTCTTCAAAGAAAACACTGATTACTGCTTATAATCTAAATCCATACAGGAAGTGCCACTTTCGAGAACAATCCTTAACTCAACTGCCAGGAAATCCACACAAGGAAAAAAAAACTGCCTTAAAAAAAGGAGACAAAGGAAGTCATGTATCTGGAAACTGAAGTTCTCTATCCCCTCCCACAGACACAAGAGCTCTTCAACAGGCAAGATCCCACCTCGAAAAAAACTGCTGCACTGAATGGGAGCAAAGGTCTGCTTAACTTTATGAACACAGGCTTAAGCTATGGCAGGGTTTATACATCAGGAGTCAAGTGTTATTCAGTTCTTGGCTTAGCAAAGTACCCTGCCTTTATTTTTTAAAGCTGTATTTTGCCAGAAAGCAGTTTTCTGAGCAAAGTCTTCAAAACGAAACAGGTCTCAGGGAATACTTATTTAAACATCCTTAGTAAGATGTGAAGACACCAACATTTACCTGCCGCAAGTACAGAAAAAAGCTAGAATACTGGCCAGCCTCAGGCAGATAGGAGAGAAACACTGTAATGCAGATCGGGAGAACTGTAGAATCTTTTCTAACCTTCTTCAGAGACTTGTAAAACAAAGAAACAAAACAGGTGTTGGAACATTTATACAAAGACTAATGAAAGCATAAAGAAAGCAGAGGGTGGATTCACTTTTTAAAAATCCATTTTTTGCCACGCATACGAGTCAAAAAAAAAAATCACACATGGCAACAGTTAAACTGAACATTAAGTTAGAAACAACCCCTGTTACATAAGGCTTACGGTATCTGATTCTTCTGCAAAGTTTCCATTTGATTTTTGAAGCTACTGTTCAATGCCAAATTACAAGTATTCACTGAAAACAGCATCATATAATATTTAGGGAAATGCATAATATTTTCTCATTGATCTCCATAATAATCTGTTCTGAAAGACGCTAGCAAATAATATAGCCTCATTACAACTGTTTCTCTTTCCAAATTATGAGAGTATTTTTCCTTGTAGATTTCTTACACTTGTTCACCCATAATATGAACCATTTTTGCATAACAAATAAATTGTGGAAACATATTCTTTAACTGCAGTCTTTCAAGCATGTCACCTATCTCTCAACATGCACAACCAGGTCCCAGCAGGATGGATCTCATGAAGAACAATCACACTTTCCTCTCTTATCAAGGTGCAACACAAACACAAGTCAGCTAAATAAGTACGAATAAGTGAACAAGTTACTAGGACTGCATGATATGTTTTAACCCTTCCTATATATGCCTGTAGAAAAATCAGGCTTTATAGATACATTCCATATAAAAAAGAAATCACACATAACCAAAAGTGCAATTCAAGAGTGGGGAGAGATACTGCCAACCAAAAGTACAAAGCATAAAATGAACATGGAAAAGTCTTACAATATCAGGTTTTGGGGTCCATAGCAGTGTAAGAATTCAGGATTTCTCTTCCAATAAAACAGAGTAAGTAAGTTAGAAAAGTAAAGCATTTTCCCTTTGAATTTCACACCAAACATTGTTTTCAATTCAAGAATCATTTAATCCACAAAGTTTGGTTTGGTTTTGGTATTTAAATGTAGCTAGATCTTTTTGTGCAAGAGCAGAGAACAGAGATTATGGTATTTTGAACAGTCAAGCTACAAATAGGATTAAAGATTTCTCAAGCTTACAAAATACACTATTATTATTATTTATTATTATTATTATTATTATTATTATTATTATTATTATTAAGTCAATTATTTATTCATTACTTATTGAAGTGCATCTTACTGCAAAAGGGTCTGCTTGTTCCCATGATATAGAAGCTCCCCATGAAGCAGGTCTCATTTTTTCCGGCAGAGATTCTGGAACAGCTAGCAGGATGAAGCAAATGTCCACAACAGCCACCAATGTGGCCACTAGTACGCCAAGGTTATCTCCATAGCTGGCAGACAGGTATGCTCCAATGGCAGGACTCGTTACCAAACTTGCTGCAAAGGTGGCAGATACCTATGCACAAGAACAGTTTACAAATTTGTGAAAGTGGTTATTCTGCCATTGCAGAAAAACAAAGTAACTTGCTCAACACCACCACCCCTCCCCAGAAGTGTGGTTTTAAAAAAACACCAGTCACAATTTAAATTAAAAAAAAACAGTAAACATGGGTCCGAATAAAGTTTCTCCAACCTCCTCCACAGCCCACCATACGAGACAGGATTTGCAGTCAAAGAGCAAGTTTGGCTCAAAGGAAAATGATTCTTACTTTCAAATAGATTAAAATGGTTTTTGTTTTCCAATTGTGAATCTGATGAGATTTCACTGGAAAAGTTGTCAGCACATTTAAATGCCTAAGTGAACCTGAGCTTCAGCACTCTGGGTAACACATAGAGTAATACACAATGCCTTTGTTAACAGTTTGCATTTTAAATACATAGCTATCACTGGATAGCACAGCAAACTAGGAAATCATTAGCTATGACAAGAACTTCAACAACAACTGTATTGCTTCATACTATGTTGTAGTGACATACAGCTACTAACAGATCACTTACTATATTCACATACAGCAGAACATGATGAAAAATCAAGTGCTGTAGTTAAATTTCACTAGAAAAATCATCAGAAAAGGTTAGAACAAAGCTAGCTTGTTTGGGGTTTTTAACTACTACTCTTTTCCAGTCCCCAAAATAAAAATACTCTGCATAACTATTTTATAGAATAAGTAAGAACACAAGCTAGAAATTTAGCTTTATACCAAGCTGGAAAAAAATCCTAAGGAAAAGGTATAACAAACAAAATGATCAGAAAGAGATAGAGACCTCATCAAAACAACAGCAGTTTTGTCTACCGCTTTACAGAATTTTAGATCTGGCTGTTAACAAAAAACTGTTTGAAGGCAGGCAAATATATGCTCCAAATATACTTACGGCCCTCTTTATAAACAGGAAAAATAAAGTGGGAATTCCAGAACTTTTAAACCTGTTTCGTGCTCTGTTACAACAATACACACAAGTTTGGTTCAAGAGAACCAAGTCCTTTATTTTCTTAACTGTTAAATCAACATCTGAGGAATCATAGGTCCTTAAGGCTAAAAATAAAGGGAAACCTTAACAGCTCGAAGTACAGTACAGTCAGCCAAAAATCAAGTCCATGAGTATCTGTATAGTGAAAACAGATGCACAGAGGATGAAGGAATAAATGACATTCAAAGGCTGAGGCTATCTACCAATGGGCCTCCAAAACCTAAATCATTATAGATAATTCAGGAAAGCAAACTAAGGAGGAATTATTACCAGAAAGGCTAGTTTGTACTAACTGAACTATTTTACTCTTCTCTTGCTAATTAAGAAAGGTCATGACTAAGTTACTAGAAATACTGCCTTATGCATTTTCGTCCCTTGCTGCCTGTTTTCACTATAGAAAAAGCCATTCTATATTAAAAAGAAATCACATAAATTAAAAGTGCAATTTACAGGTGGTGGAAAGATACTGCCAGATCAAATATTAAATAATTTGCATTGCCTTTAACAACATTTCTTTTCTGCCTGCAAAAATTAAAACACGTTTTGTTACACATGCCGTCTGTGCGGGTAAAGCTGTCAAATTCTTATTCTGTTCCTATGAGCACAGAGCAGTCTGTGCAGCAGTAGAAAGTCTAAATTAGATTTCCCAAACTCTAACACGGTGCCTTGATGCATGGTTCATTCCCTTCTCTATCAACCTCATTACATTAATCAGGAAACAATCGGTACATCAAAACACAAGTTCAATACGAAGGTTGTAATCTGACCTTTTTTCAAGTTTAGCGTATCTTACCAGTCCATAGGCTGTAATTCTTTCATGTTCTTGTGTTACATCAGCCACATAGGCAAATATTACAGAAAAGGTAACAGAAAAGATTCCAGATACCGAAATCATAGCGAAGTACCACCTAATGATTTAAAAGCAACAATTAGAAAGTTTAAGCTAAGACCTCTTGCTTTTCTCCTACTAATCAAGCCAGTTTGTATTTAAGCCATGAGAAGTTTTCCTCAAGAACTAAAATAGAGCTTTACTGAAGATGAACGTTAGTGCAGTCTCACTTAAATATTGGAAAACAGCATTTTAATTTTTAATATTCTACCGTTTACTTTACATCAGCCTAGAAGAAGTGGCCCCTTCAGGACATGGTACCTATACATTTTCACACTCTCAAAGCTGAAGCAAGTTTAAGTTATGCAAAAGGAACTCCCTGAGAGCTCAGTTTCTCAACCAGTTAAGGAATAAACTATCACATATAATGCTTCAGAAGCTGAACTCTGAGTGCACTCAGTGGTCACAAAGTTCTTTTGTAATGCTCCTAAGTTTCACAATGAATGTAAATGAAACTGAAACCCAGTCAATTCCACTCAGTTAAGACTTCAAAGTTGCCTAATCAAAGAGTTAAAAGATCTCATTTGCAGCAATTATACATTTCTGTGGTCAATAAATTCTAAGGTTAATTTAGCTTTAAAAATATGTTTATTACCACATTGTCAGTCCTCAGGGGAAAAAAAAAAAATTGAGTTAGACAGGGCTATCAAACCATTTCACTTATACTTGTGTGAATACAGTAATTAAACCACATTCCGTAATTTCTACTTTTAAGATACACAGTTTTAACACCTCTTAAACAGAAAAGCTCCAGAATAATGCAATCACATCTTGAAAGGAAAGTGGCTTTCCTCGTGTCTTAGTGTCCCTCTCCCACTTCCCCAAACTACTCCTCTGATTGAATTTCTGCTGCACTGACAAGCTTGCTGCTGCAGTCTGTACCACTTACCATGGACTTATTCTCATTAATGGAATTGGGGCACAGGTGAAAAAAACTGTAAGAAGAAGAAAAGATTTTCTTCCCCATGCATCTGATAGAGCGCCTATTAGTGGAGCACTGAGAAAGGACAAAAAACCCTGTGACAGAAGAAAAACAATATGTCTATATTTACATTTCCAAGTTTCACTTTAACCACAATATAAAAAAGGACTAAAATTGCAATTTGATTTTAAATTAAACACAAAATTGTAGACAACTGAAATTGTACACAATTTCCTCTACAGTCTACTTTTCTGTGATTCTAATGTTTTATATTTCAAATCTATTAAACTTAAATGCATTAAAAAAAACAGTCATACATTTTTCCAAGACCAATTTGATTCAATACAGAAGTACCACAGACTGCAAAAGCTTCTTAAAAATCTCAAAAATCTACAGTCTAGTTTCACAAAGGACATCTTCTTAGCCTCTATCATGAGACTTAATGCTAGATCTCAAACCCAAATTCCGCTCTAATTTGGACTGTCCTAAGGGAGAGTTTTGGGTAACGTAACTGTTCTCTGAAACAAATTAAACAGAACATTTATTGCTTTATACTACATATTTGTCACGTACAGGACATTTCTACATTTCAAGAACTATGAGGACGACTTAAGCAAGCTTGACAACTTGAGCCAGTGGACCACCACAATGATATTCCAGTGGCAAAAAGTCAGACTTACAGGTACAGTTGTCACAGAAAAAATTGACTAAGGATCAAATACTAGATTTTTCAGCATTTCATAAAGTCCTAGAATCTAGGTCTCAAATCTGTTCTGTATTACACAGAAGAATTAAAATAAACAAAGCCTTTCACAGGTTTGTTAACTGCAAAACCTCCAGAACAGATGCATCTTCCTCCTAATTAGTATATTGTTCTCTCATCAATCCAACTCTGCCATAAATCCAAACATTAGTAAATACATGGTTCTGTAAGCACCTCAATACACTGGAAGTCTAACCTCTGGTATTCAAATGTAGTTACCTTCAAGTCTAACACATGCGTACAGACTACGGTACTGAATCACTATTCTGCCAAATCCCAATAAACAACTCTGATTCCAATGATTTCAGTAAATTGAGAGCAAAAGCTATAAAGCCAGATCACCAGATCCTAGGAAAGTTAGATGCCTTACTCAGTTGAAATTAATGTTTTTGCTCCTTAAAGTCAGATTTCAGTAGAATATGAACATGTTTTGCTAACTGTCACCCAAAACAATTTTGATGTTTCACAAACAGCATTTTAAAGAAAACATTGGATACTGAAGTCCAAGCTCACTCTGGTTTATGCTCCCCTGTTTATTACACCTGTTAGAGCAATACATACATTTAGACCATGATATTAATGCACTTTTCTACAGATATGCTATGTAAAAAATATATGGGGAACCCTCCATTCACTACTTTTAAGTGATACTTATAGTTACACTGCACTGTGAATGAACAGAGTTGAAAGAAAACACTAAGAGGAACACGAACTTCAGTTTTCTAAGAGAACAATGTGAAGTTGATTTCCTCTTTCAGTTTGAGACATCCTGACATCCCTAGTGCATGGGGTTCTGCCAATCCACCATGAAAGGTATCAAGACAGAAAATCTATCCTAAAGATGCAATGTTCTTACAGCTAAAAACAATGCTTTAGATTTGTTACAGAATACAAACCTAAATATTTTCTGGGTGCTATAAATTAACTTAGTCATAAGTTACACTAAGTGCTTTGAAGATTCTCAGTAAGACAGTCAGCAAAGAAGAGACTTTCAAGTCTTAGTTATGCTAGAGAACTTTTGCAAGCTTTTTTTGTGGCAACAATCCAGCATGACCACTGTGTGAATGCAGTGGTATAAGTAAGCTATAAGCTGCCCTGAATATCTTGACCATCACAGAATGCTCAAAAACTGATAAAAAAAGACCAGGAAAAAAAAAAAACAACCCACTCTGCTGAAAATTAGCTTTTATACCACATCTTGGACAAAATCACAGTGTTTAAGTGCTTCATGTTTTATCTCAATGGCATCATCATGGCTGCATTAATCTGCTTTCAATATTCTCAGAAGGATCCTTACCAAGATTACAACAGCTAGAACTGGTACCTATTCAAATCAGAGGAATTTAAACTTATGAGAAATATTCCACTTGTTTCAAGATGCTGCCATTTAGCAGTAAAACTTGAAGTGAACCCAAGAACACAACCATTACAATGAAAAAATGGTTTAATAATTAATTACATTCTCAGTGTTTTGCATGTTCTTATGGATAATGCAGGAGAGACAAATTACAATAAAGGAACACAGAATATTTAGGTCAGAGGTTTTAAAAAAAATCTTACCTTAACACCTTGAATAAGACCATTCATTAAAAATGTATGATGGGAAAATGTTTCATGTAAGACCTGATGGAGAAAAAAAGCAGTATTTGAATCAGGTGAGACAGGACAAAGTTGATTCAAAGTTTAAAGTTCATTTGTAACAGGATAGCTCTATTGGGACTTCTTAAAAAAGTATCTTCTCCCACTATTATACTCTTATTTGTCTTCACGAGAAAATATTGACGAAGTTTGATATCAATTTATTAACATAAATTCTTCTGTTGGCACAGACCGCGCTGTACTGCAGAGATAATTTGGTTTGGGGTACTTTGCTCAGAAAGGGGTTCGATGTAAGCAAAAAGCATCTCCGTATGGCACAAATCACAGAATTTTTGATGTAGACAATTCCTTCAAAAGGTTGACTCAATCATTGTTACTAATTCGGAGTGAAAATGAGATTCAGCTAACTTACTCTGTCAAGAAAAAAACAGCACTAAATTCACAACTGCCCAAGAAGGCACTGTGCAAACCGTTTCTGAATGAATTGCATTACTCAATAGTCATAGTTAGATACACTTCTGATGAACAAGTAGATGCTTATAAATACTAGCAACAGCTCTGAGTGTTTCACGTATCCTTTAAGTACCACTATGAATTCATTTAAGGTGCTTTACCAGCAGTCTTAATTCAAGGGCAAGCATGTTAATCTATACTAAACAGATTTACCATAAATATGCAAGAGAGGTAAAAGACCTCACAGGTGCTACTGTGTCGATTAAAAAAGTTATTGCAATGATCAAAGCATGTATGCTCACTAACTTCAAATTCATTTGCTGTTTTTATCTATAGATAAGTGCCAACAACTACAAAAATTATTTATATGCATATTGAGGAAGCCACTAGCCTGAAGAAACCCAAAACTTCAGTGTCACTGAAAAATGAGCACCATTTTTCAAGGATGACTGAGATTCTCAAATCATAGGTTTAATAAGGGTGGTTGTTCCCATGTTAACTACTAGTCAGACAATTCTGCTTATTTACACCCCTTTTTCCTTCTGGTCTCATCTTCTGCTAGAAATTTAAAACAATTTTGCACTGTTTGACCACTGATTTTATGATATGAATGGAGGAAAAAAAGTCAGCGTTTAAATTAGAGATCTATCAAGCAGATGTCTTCCAATTCAAAAAAAAAAAAAAAAAAAGGCAGCAAGCAGGAAACTCACAGTCAAATCTAATTATCTTTCTGTAAAGTGTTTTCCAGTATTCTTTCTGGGAGGCAACCAGTGCTGATATTGGTTCAAGCTTTTGAGATTAATTTCTCTTACTTTATACACAAGAGAAATGCAAGTTGACAAACTGATAAACTGCCTTACCCAAGTTCTACTGATAGAAATATTTATATATTAAAAAAAATATTATATTGAAGACAGAATATGGCATTAAGTGATGAATATTGCCTATGGTGATGTACTAATATTGGCTTACAAGTCCATAAATAAGAGTAATGAGCATAAGCTTCAGGCAGCCTGTGAGCAAAATAGCCTTCGTATGCTTTATAAACACTTCAAATCTTTTCTTCTCTAAGTATAGGGTCATGTAACAAACGCTACAGCTTTGCTGACAGATGTCAAAAGAAGTGAAAAAGTAATCTAAAAAATGAACTTCAAATAATCTCAACTATCACAGAATACACGCAATTTATTTTGGTAATACACGACACAAAATTTTAATCTGATTAAATGACCTGGAGAATCACGACACAACCACAAAAAAATCTGAGTAATCATGAGCTTTGATTAAGAGGCCAGACCTTTCCGTTTCTGCCCTTCCTACCAGACAAACCTGCTTGAGCAAAAGTGGGCAGCCAGCAGTTCAAAGGCTGAACTTTGCTCATAAGACAGCTCTACATGACTCCTAGTACTGCTGGCTGATCAGCAGGCCAAGGTAAGTTACCACAAGTACATTACAAGACATAAGGGTGCAAAGTATCAAAGCACATTTGAAATTATTTCAATCAAACAGCAGCCTTTCAGTTTGTGCAAAGCTGATTACAAATAAAGATGATTACCCCCAAGAACACAGACGTCATTTACACCTGTGTAAGTTACACCATTATATGTAACTCAGTGCTTTAAATTAAATCTTCAATCCAATCCAACAGCCTCCTAAGTATTCAAGACCAAGTAAGAGAGGAAAACAACATTCAAAGATATTCAAGACCACAACTGTACTGAAGCCACATAATTCAGTCAAAATAAGAATTTAGCTTTACATTAGAAGCATTTCGTAACACTCCCATTAGACACAATGCATTGATAAATACCAATTCCAGGAATTAACATTTCAGCTGCATGGGACTAACAGTAAAAATTCATATGGAACAATTTCAACAGGAGTACACTATTGAGGAACTATTGAAGAACCCACCTAACATATAGTTTTATTAAAGTGGGGTGGGTTTTGAAGACTGCTTAAGAATTACTATTTGCACGTTATCTCTTTAAATGATAAGTGTCAAGCTTGGGCAACTTGAAATTGAGCATTTTGCTTAAGAAAAAAGGAATGAAAAAAGAAAAGAAACAAGAGAGACCATCCAGTAAGCTTCCCCATATTTTAACACTGGCAAGACAGCATGACAGGATGCTAATTTAATAAGACACCTACTTTACGGAAATCTGTTAACTGTTTATATGGACTTTTTTATTATTAAGCTATGTTAAAAAGATCAGTGATTGTCTTTAGGAAGGTTAGACAAATACTTTTCAAGAGTTATGTAGATGATTTTATTTGGAGCTTGGGGAAGGAAAATAATTAACTGCAAGGTCTTTCCATCCCATAGAACCTTGCTCATTATGTTTTCAAAGTGCTCTCAGGTATTATCTCAAGAAAAACTGGACTAACAGACTTTTGATGACTTCTCTCAGGCAGGCCTGATTTCAATGAATAAGACCCATGTCTTCAGATAAAAGGCTTCATGCCCTATTACCAAACACTCAAATTACCTATTCACCTGGAAAATAACTGCATTCCAGAACAGATTAAATACTTATAAAATCCATTTCTTACATGAAAGCCTTTACATTTTACTTCAAGTTACATGCTGGCAAAACAGCCAGCCCACAATAGCATACAAAGTTTATTATGGGATGCATAGTTTATTCTATTGTTATGACTGGAAGATGAATTGAACTATGAAGTCTTAAAAAAAGCCAGAATTTCCAGACAGACTTTCATCCACACACTAAACTGATGTTACTCTAAAAGGCAAATAACAGTCAAAGAGTAGTACAGTTTTGCTAATTTATTTTTCACTGTCTTTTAGTCTTTCAGCAGTCCAGATCTCAGCTGTAGTATACTAATATTGCGCAGCGTTGAATGTTAAGACTCCTGGAATTCTGTTAATGTGGTAAGCACGAAGTGTAAACCAAATTAAAACCCCAATCCCTAGGAATTAGCATTAATTAACTTTTGTCATTACTGCCGAGATGACAGCAGATCAGTGATACTTACTGTTAGCATCGGAGTTGTCAAGAGCCCCCAGGCAAAGAATTCTAGAAATATGACCACCACCGCGTGGTATACGCTTGGCCGACCAATACCTTGTTGCTAAAAAAGAAAAACAGATGCAGTGGTTATACACATCCAATTCATTACATGTGCAAAGACCTCTTACAAACGTATTTTGAGCATAACCAGCTTTCAGGATGACCTCCTACCACGCCCTTGGGAACAATAATAAGCCAAACAAGGGTGGAGAAAAGTTATTACAAAATGACTAAAGTTCTCCAGGGAACTTGAGAAAGTTTGTTCCTTCCAACTCTTGCTGACTGAAGAGAACTATTTTCCTCATTCCTGACGTTGCCCTGTACTGCTCTCACCTCCAGTGTACCTTTAGGTTTCCTCCCCCTTGAGCACTATTCACAACCCTTCCACAGCAGCGTGACAAATAGTGTAACTCTCCCTGCTACCTCCACAAGCGGCAACGAAACAGATCTGCTTTATGAAGATCACATCACCGTTACAACAAAATGGTGATAATGCACATAATCAGAAGAGCACCAATTTTTGTATTTGAAACTGCCAAAGCATGAGAAAAGAAGGGGCAGCTTAGGCCGTCTGTATAACTGCTTTCTGTTGATTACTGACCAACTGACGTCATGTTTGTGTGTGCCAATAGACCAAAGACCCAAGAGTTATTCTACTGGTCAACAAGTTATCCCAGGAAGAATTAGCAAACTACGGAAGAGCTCACAATGCTGTGAAACCACTGCCATTCAAGAGCCAAGAACTGGATCCCAGACAAGAGATCCGCAATCTTTTCGTTTAGACGAACCAGGCAGAACCCTTGGGTAAAGCAGATTTAACCATAACTGCTGCTTTCTTTCATTTCTATGTGCCCCTTGCTACAGTAACTGTTTTACAAAGTTTTTGGGTTCTAAAATTACTTTTCCCCTTTCCCCTAACAATTGTCCTATAGAAGATTGTTTTTCAGTGCTTCTAGCCAATCCAAAGCCATTACATTCCCACAGGACTGGCAATTCTTAGAAAGGAGCAGTACAGCACTCTCATCGGGTACTCCCATACATACCTGAAGTTTACCCAAAGTATAAAAGGACACTTCTCTTGCACACTGCACAATCTAATAATGCAGGATTCAACTGAAGAGACATCATCTAGTAACAAGCATCAACCAGACTCTGTCATTTCAGCAGGTGGACAGTAGGGAGAACATGAAACTCAGGGTCTCCCACTGAACCCAAAAAAAGTCAAGACAGCCTACAACGAAGGTAGAGCAGAGACGCATTTGGTGTTTCTCCCCAGCTCAGTACCTTTCATCTAGATTAGTAGGAATTATAGGTTTAGGAAACACTTGTATTACAAGATTCATTTAAGCTAACTGCCTATAGTAAAGATTTTTAAAGAAATCCCTACTGCCTGGACAGTCTAAATGCCCAGATCTCTAATAATTCTTAATTCTATCAGAGTTTATCAAAACCTGCAGCAGCAAACTAAAAGTAACCCAGACAGCATTTTTTCTAGCGAATAAGATTCAAATTATTCTCTACATTGCAGCTTGCTTCAAAGCTTGAGGATTTGGAGAAAACAGTTCTCTTTCTCCTGGGAAATAATATGATAATATCATAGATCAAAGATTATCTCTGTGAGGCTGATAACTTTCAAGCATTATTAACATCTCTTTGTAGGCTTCCATGCAATTTTTAATCTCTAAATAGCAAAGATTCCAAAGATTGGGGGGGCGGGCAGAATTTTCCTCATATAAGTAGTCTGAAAGTACTTCTACATAATCTAATAGGATAACAATTTTAAGAATATTTTTTTTCCCCAAGAGGTCTATCAGTCGGCCTAGCACTTAGCACAGATTACACTGAAGTCTGAAGATCCCTTCCACAGTGGTTTCCTCTGGAAAAGGCAAATTTCACAGTAGAGAGTAGGTAAGGGAATTCCCAGCCTTTTTCCTGCCTCTACTTCACTTCCCCCCCACCTCTATATCACTAAGCACAATGCTGGACCATAAACTTCTGGTTTGCATTCAGCAAACAGTTCTAATGCCACCAAAAATTAAGTTTTGGACTGTTTGGCTTTTTTAATAATGTGTTTATTACATGCAAATTTGATATGAGATTTACATGGTTTACCAGAAAGATGATGTACATACATACTGAAAAAGACATGCATGTTTTTTCCTCAGAAGTCATTTTAAAACTTTGGTGAAAGAAAAGTATTTTTGCTGTACTGAGCCTAAATGAATATTTCCTGGAGATTAAAAGAGTCTTCAAATCATTTCTGGCAGTATCACGCAGCTTGCAGATAGCTGCACTGAACTACTAAAAAAGCAGAAATCTCTATGGCCTTTTGGAGGACATAACCTGGAAACGTAGAATTTAAATCCTGAAAGGAACATGCACCTGTCAAAATGTAGTCAAGCATTCTACATCAGATGTACTAATAGCTACTGATCTATGATCCACATAGACTGCAGTTGATGATTTTCAGTTTTCTTTGCAGAGCCCTAAATGTCTAGATTAATTCAAGAACACTTGTGCGAATGGCTGTATCGGGAAACTAACATCATACAAATGGGAAAATTCACTGACATTGTCAAATGGACCAATGCAGAGAGTTACTTCTGGATGCCCATCTTTTCTGTGGGTCCTAAAAACTGTTATCACAAAAGCTTTCAATTGTTAATCAAGCATCAAGTTATTTTCAAGAAAAGAAAATAGCTTATGATTGATCATGTACACAGCCTGGACCACTGATAAAGAGGCAGGGAAAACTCCTTACTCATTTTGAAAACAAAGAGCTTTCTAAAAACACTTCACACTTACTTTCAAGATGAAGCTACCCCAGAAGTAATGGGTGTGGCTCATTTCTATATTGAGAAAATACTCTGCAACAGAATGCAACTGCATGCAATTTACGTAAAGAACAAAACGGAGACACACACGCAAAAAATGGTTATAAACTTGAAGCACAAAGAGCTTTAGGCTTCTTGAACTATACAATATGGGAACAATCTACTGAATTCTTTATGGTTAAAAAGATTTTAAATGGAATTTCAGAAATAGCCCAGACATGGTCAACATACAAGTTGCTTTCATCATTCCCTGCCCCCAAATTATAAAGTGTTAATTTTAAAAATTAAGTGCCCTCAGGAAAGTCTTAAAATCTGTTATGGGCTTATTTTCTATCCACGCTGATGATCTTCATTTGACAGCCCAGTGTGTGGGCTGAGAAACTATGTATCACCATTACGACTGCTTTCAAATCCAGCTGCTGGTCAAGCTATTATACTTGCATAATTAATAATGAGCAAAACATTACGTAATCTCAAATGTTTAATAATAAAAGTTTAAGGCCATCATTATAAAATCTGAAGTCCTAGACGTTCTAACAAAATATCTGCTATTTCTCCAATTTTACACTTCTGCTCCTTCTATGCTTCTTTTTGCCCATACCCAATTCTAAACAACATTTTTTTTCTGCCTTTATTGGAGGCAGAATAAACCCAAAAGTTAATTTGAACACAACAGAGAGAACTACTGAGATGCAGTACAAATTTTTTTTTAAAGCAGAACACAGCTGTTGAACATTAATAAACCCATGAGAAGATCTCAAGATCATAAACCCAGCTGGTGAGGAATTGCTCATACAAAAGGGGAAAAAATTGCAATATAGTATCAGTAAGAATACCTTATCTTAGGTATTTTGAAGGAAAGCTAGTGCAATTCACCCTAAATACTCCACAGCAAGATGCAATTTTATAGCCATTCCCAGATCATCAGAGCTAAGCTAGAATTAACAGTATTCATTTATTCACACAACTTTTAGGTAACTATTTATCTGTTAATTCAAATCTGTAATTTAACAACTAAAATTGTTCGAATGTCTGCAAAAGCACCTTAACATCCAATTTCAAGCATGCTTAACTGTTTGTTTCTCTTAAGCAACATGCTTGCTTCAGAATAAAAACACTTCTCACTGTTCAAATCCCGAAGTCCTCCAGAGCACCTTTTCAAACTTTTCACATTTGGATGAGGGCCACATCACAGAATCATAGAATCACAGAATGCTTTAGGATGGAAGGGACCTTTAAAGGTCATCCAGTCCAACCCCCCTTCATCGCGCCATCTTCAACGCGATCAGGTTGCTCAGAGCCCCATCCAGCCTGGCCTTGAATGTTTCCAAGGATGGGGCATCTACCACCTCTCTGGGCAACCCGTTCCAGTGTTTCACCACCCTCATCATGCTCAGTATATAAACTGGGCAGAGCTGGCCAGGGGGCAGCAATCACTGCTCTGGGACGGGCTGGGCACTGGTCGGTGAGTGGTGAGCAATTGTATCGTGCATCACTTGCTTTGCATATTATTATTATTATATTATTATTATTACTACTACTCTTTCACTTTATTTTACTTCAATAATTAAACTGTTCTTATCTCAACCCACGAGTTTTCTCACTTTTACCCTTCCAATTCTCTCCCTCATCCCACCAGGCATGGGGGGGTGAGCGAGCAGCTGTGTGGTGCTTAGTTGCTGGCTGGGGTTAAACCATGACACAAAGAATTGAACTAACAGAATCAGTAAAACATTTTGAGAAACATGCTTTCACGTATGAATCATTCAGACCTTGAAGTCCATGCCAAATTATAAAGCGCATTCCCTTTCCACATTTTTCTTCGCTACTATTTTCTTAGTTTCCCCACAAAATTCAACCATTTCAAATGCAAACTTTTCCTGGTATGCTTCACTACATCACTATTTAATCATTTTAGCTTACTCTAGCACAAATACTATGCTACCAATCCATCTCACTACGTTATGGATGCTCTTCTCTCCACACGTATTACCCAGGTAGCTCTCTAGGCGTATTACATGTTTACCTTGCTCTCCTCCCCTTTCTAGTGCCTATTGTTAATTTTCAAACAGAAGTAGTTAGGAACCACCTTAATTCCAACTGTTCCCTACAAACGCCCCATTTGTTGGAACCAGCAAGAATTCACTCAAGTGCAAAAAGCACCCTGAAGACCTTGGCTGCTGTTGTCACATGAAGCACTCATCAAGTGATTACGTATACA